GATTCTCAAAGTTGCTTATTGAAAAAAATCACGCTGAACAAAATTCAGGTTGGCTGTAAAATAGATTTGGTTGCTTGGAGCTGAAATGGATTTTTCCACCTTGAAAATGTCATGTGGGCTCAAAAACGCTTGAGAAAAAAATAATGCCAATGATCAAACGGAAAACTTCATCCCACCTGTCTGCACTTTGAGGAAAAATATTTATGGCCTATTTGTAAAATTTTGCATGACTTCATTAAATATACTAAAGTTACTGTTTAAAAAAAAATCATGTGATGGTGAGGGGTCAGGTGGGAGTCTCTGATTAAACGATTATCAAATCATGCTGGGATAATGTGAGTTATCAGGCTTCAACAAGCTTAGACTGAACATTAAGCTTCTCATATATATTGAAATATTTTCTAGTAAATTCAAAAGTAATGCAAAAAAGAAGCATTTTCACTCCCAGCCTGAGATTTTTGGATGTCACTGCAGCTGCTGCGAGTTTAGGGTTGCCCCAAAAAGTTGAGCCGCACATTTAAAAAAAAATAATTTACCTCAAGTGTCACGCTCCTCACCTCATGCAAATGTGAGTTTGAGACCTGCGCATGGCAGTAATGGATTTCCAAAGCACACGAGTAGCAATATTTTGGCAGAGGAAACCTTCTGACAGTGAAGCAGAAGATATTCTAGATGGTTTTTTTACTGGTATATTTATAGAAAATACACAGAAGTTATGTCCCAGTGGAATCGTTTTATAGTTAAGCAGTGGATTTATTATTCTTAACAGAATCCACTCCGCCCCGATACTCAGGCAAGATAGATTTCTCTAATAAGTGAGATGCTGCAGAGTGGAGAGAGCTGCTGCAGGACAAATTATGTAATGATGACACTGTATCTAAGTTAGTCCTTTTTACTGCCTGATGAACTACATTTTTCTAGCATACTGGCCAACATTCATGCTTCCATAAATCACGCTCTTTCAAATAATCCTGGCTGGCACTTCCGCCACAAAAGGCAAAAGTTGCACGCTGAAAAAACCGTACCGTATATCTGAAACGTAGATCTTGGGAATCCTATTTTCCCCGATTTTTCAGCACATCGATTTGGATTTCCGCCAGCGTAACACGTGCTCCGCAGGTGGAGGCGAATGTAATCTGTCTATTGTTAAAAAGGAAACAGTATTTTTCCACTAACACGTCTACCAGGAGGAAAACAGGCCATTATTCTGAAGGATACCCATTGTGCAAACTGCAGACACACACATTTACAGTACAAGGCGCCTCATTAAAGCAGCTCAGCAACATGTTACAGCACTCATTTCTCCAATGCAGCTTTTTCAGGCTGTGCCTCAGCTAATGTCTTCTCCCAATGTGGCATTTGCCACCATGGGGGTTGTTAACAGTGCACCGTCCGATGCTGTCGCATCTTGCCTGTGTTGGCTGCAGGCTTACGGAGGGAAACAGCATATAAAGTTCACAGCTGAATAATTGATGGTGTGTTGGATGGGTCACGGGTGGCAGCGAGGAAGAGGAGGTGGAAGTGGAAGGCAAATGCCAGTAGATGATCACTGCACTCATGTCAGCCTGTGAGGGCTTGTTAGCAGCTGGATCTGAATAGCTCTCTGCTACACGGAGATATCCAGATAATGAGATTTGGGTAATGAACCAGGGTTATATAATAGTCATATTCCATCGCCCAACTACAGAGAGATTTTAATTTGGCCCGGAGAAATAATGGTCTTCTTCTCAATCATTGCAATGAGTAATTTTCAAAAGCTAACGCTAACATTACATTGCAATTAGAGCACTTACACAAGAAAGGCAAAAACCAGACCATAAAATGGAATAAGAGTGAAGTCAGTAATCCAATAACGCTTGAAAATGGCTAAAAGTGTCGCCACCGCCGCGACGATTTTCTGAGATTTCAGTTTAGATAATAAGCTGTTAAGTTTCCGCTCTATCATTCCTCAAATGATTCAAAGACATCGAATGATCTCCCAAAACATCAAACATTCATCTGAAAGAGAGACGGGAATAAAAGCCAGCTGAGGCCCGATTCTACGTGTGTGTTTATCATCCAAAAGGTGCGAGTGTGCGTGTCTCTGTGTGTCAGAGATACCGACAGACTGTGCTGAATGTGAACAGAGGGTTCAAACAGCAGGTGTGCAGAGCGTCCAGCCTCCCTCTCATCAACACCAGCTACATCGCCGTCACCACGCTTCTCAGATCGAGATGAAGGCAAATAAGATCAGGCGTGATTGATGCCGCTCGCCACGTTTAGCGCTGATTTCTTAAAGCGGCTTCGGTAGCATTTTTAGACTTGATTGTGGAAGAGAAGGCAGAGCTGGCAGAGGTGGTTACAGATCAGAGTTACACGTTACTCGTGTGCTCGTCTGGCAAGCATGGAGTGATCGATTTGCAGGTCAAAC